CACCAATATTTCAAAACATATCATGTTTTCTAACCCATTTGAGTACTGCTTTGGGAAGAGGTTGAAATATTGCTGGTATTATGTGCCTGTCATTTCAAATGTTTTTACTAAAGAGTGCCTTTTAACCCTTTTGTGTTTAGTTGTGGGTCATTTTGACCCAGTTAACACTGGTTATATTCGGAATTGCATTCTACATGTGTTATTGCTGTAGCATGCTGTGCACTGTATGCAAATTTACTGTATGAACAGAATACCTTAACAGCCTACTACATTTGTCAAAATAAGCAGTATACAACAGCACATGCTGCATGGTTGTATCCCAAAATGCGTGTGATCAATTTGACCTTTCATTTTTAGTGTGATGGATGAAACGGAAGTAGTATCAGCTGTGATTTTTAACATCTGCTGTGTTCAGCATGCCCTACTAGCATATGATTTCTGCAATATCTATACTGCAGAAATAATTAGTATGCTGTTCTGAACATACTGTAGCTATTCATTTCTTGATTAGTTGATTGGACTGCCAAATGTTTGTTTTACTAGGGCTGTGCATCATTTAAACTAATACCAGTTTTCTGCAGTTATCAGTAAATTACTATACTGTCTCTCTCTCTCTCTGTGTGTGTGTGCATTTAGACTAGCATACATTACTGGTGGAAAATGAGGTAGGGTGTCCTACATAAGGCATTAATCCACTTGTGGGACATGTGCAGCCATTCTTTTCTAGGAAACCGTGGTTTGAAGGGCCTGGAGAAAGTGTTGACATGAGAGAATTTAGCACTAATTACAACTTAATATTAGTAAATATCAGTATTAAGTGAATAGTAGTATAGCTTTAGGAAGCTAAAATAAATGTTGCATTGAATGGGAAAGTTTTTTTTTTTTTTTCCATGTTAAACTGACCACATTGATCACAGAACATTAACATGTTAAATCTCATAGGCCAAATTTTTTTTATACAAACCTGAACTTAAAATGCAATAAATAAATAAAAGATCTAAGATTATAACTTTACACTACTGACATGCACAGGATTAGTGAGGTTACGTGACCACAATACATTACACTTAAATAAAAAAAAGAAAAAGAAAAAGAAGAAGAACAAACGCTGTCACTGGGGTGGTACCCTTTCAAAAGGGTACTTATTCTATTTAGATACAAATATGTACACTTTAAGTACAAATTTGTAACTTTAGTTTAAGGTACCAATATGTTCACTTTAGGGGTAAATAACAAAAGTATAACTTTTGAAAGATTACGGCCCCAGTGATAGATTTTTTTTTACTTTTTTCTGAGAGCGTAACATATTACTGTGAAATATTTGTATAGTTGAATAATGAAAAATATTGTTGAATAAAAAAAAATAGTAGACATCACACAGTATTTACCGCTTGTATTCCATGCAATCACGGATCTTCTGCAACCTGCCATCTTTTCATCCTAAAATGTAAACAAAAGTGTCATAAACATGGTAATGTAAAATGCTTTCTTTCTTACCATGTCTCTCACACACAATCAGCCACTATCAATCAAACTGCATTTCTGGAGATGTGATTTGCCATGCAAGGTCAATCTGACCCTGTAACAGCTACTTCTTTAAATGGAAACAGCATGGAAAGAATCTGTCCCAAAAGTAGTAGGCCAATGGTAGAGTGCATGAATGCACTCCTTCTACGTGCCTGGTACTATGATTCACCCCATATGCGCTCCTTGATTAGATTGGATATAAATTCCACACTTCAGATCGTTTCCATTCCATTGTTTGCAAACAATGAGCTATAGATAAGAAATGAATATTAATATAGTCAAAGATTGCTGTGATAAATTGTGTCGGTGAGGTCTGATCGCAAATTGATTATGCATGCATGTTGGATGTGCTCTATTTCTATCCGTTTCTTGTTCGTTTTCTCACACGCTTTGTCTCTAACACTCTCTTTTTCACCCTCCCTCCCCCTCTTCATGATTGATGGCATTGCAGCTTTTATCTCAGGTAAGCCTGTGCTGTTACTTATCTAGCCCGACTGTCACTGGACGAGAAAGGTGTTTGCTAGCACCACTCAGACAGCAGATTGGCTGGGCCGGAGCCAGTTGGGATAAACCCCCAGGTGGCGGGATTGTGGCCAACGTGGCTGTGCTGAAGTGTGGATGGTACATGCAAAACTACATTTTTACATTGTTTGAAGAAAATTAGTGGTGCTTGTCTGTGCAAAACATGGCACCACAATGCTAGAGTTTTGTGGCTGGTTGCCAGAGCGTTGCTATTGTGGTTGTTTAAAAAAGAGCACACCTCCAAGCTATCAGTTACCTTACCATCTAAACTATCACGCTGTTTCATTTGTATAAGCATTAGACTTCAATATTACATTTGTTAGCTAGAGACTGGTGTGATGGAATAGCACATTAGTGGTAGATTTAAGTATTTCCATCTACTGGAAAAGAATGTCTACCTTAATATGTTCTTGATGTAGTGATATTCTCTATGACATAGACTCTGCTGTTCAATATTGAATACTAAACCAAAACTTAACACTTTAAGCAAACAGTAGAGGTCTGTTTCTCCTTATATGCATTAAACAGGCGTTCGACTGACACTACAGTATTACATCCCTCCTTCCATCCAAGGGACACAATTATCCCATGTTTGTTTCTGTCGTCCCACAAATGAGAACAGCCAACTCTATTTTCCCAGCTGTGCAGCAGTCCAGATGAGAGCATTTTTTTCTTCTTTGGCTTTTTGAGAATGGTACCCCTGAGTTGCAGGGAGCGTGTCCAGCTCCATTTGCAGAGTTCTTTGAAGACCGTAGCAAGAACAATTACAGCGGCACGGCACCGGCCTCGTTCTGTGAGCGTGTACTCACGCTAACCCTGCACAATCACTCCAGAAAAGCCCCAAAACATTAGGCAAAGTAAGGAAATAAAAAGGCTATTAATTTCTACTCCTTTACTCTTCAAAAAACATCTGGCTACTCTTCAAACCAATACACATAACTACGTGGAGCAATATGGAATTAATATGCATCACAAAAACAAATCTTGTGATCTCAATGTTTGATTGGATCTGTGCCATTATGTAATATTTAATATACAGTACAGGTTCATATCTGAATTGATTTGTAAATATATATATATATACATACATTATTTAAAAAATAAATATATTTACTTTTATATTTTCAAAGACAAAAATATTCTGTCATATGGTATCAAGCAATGAATGTATCATCATACCGAATCCAATGTGTCTTGATCCTTTGAGATAAAAGTTTGATGTACTATGAAAACACACTGTAACTCAAATATCCCTATTCCAAAATGACCACAGAAAACTAAGCTGCAAAAAAAACCAGCTTGTTCTGATTTTCAATCTGATCTAACAGTTTGTGCATCACATTTCTTCATAGACTGTTTTGTGATCCTGCATAACATAGAATGCAGACTTTAAAAAGGGTGTTATTGAAGGATGGGCAGTTAAAAAATGTATTGGACTTAACAGCAAACCTGCATGTTGTGTGTAAGCAACCCTTACAGGGAGAGCAAAAAATAAATAAATAAATAAATAAAAACACAAATGGATGGTTCAGTTATAAGGATCAGAGACAGGGTGAAAATGGTCATAACATAACTATGAATGCTCTGGCACAACAAAACCCCATTACTTGCGTTATAAAAGGACCTCAGGGAAAAAAATTAAATAAAAATTGTATGAAATGACCCCTTTAATAGTGTTTCCATTGTCATCTCTTGCAAAGCAGCTCCATTTGTGTTTCCATTGCTGTTAACTGCTTTGACTTTTAGTGGCCATGCACTTGGTGTGCAGTGGATTATTTCAACCCCTTCCACCGGCTTCTCATCTTTCTCTCTCTCTCTCTCCCTTCCTCCCTCTGTGCCTCAGCATTCCAATCATAGTGATGAGAGAGCTAGATTTATACACCTCTCTCTCCTGATCTCTCTCTCTCCTCCCGCACTGCAGACGTCTATGAGAGCCTGTCCTAATGAAAATGTATTGTTGTCTTTTCCAATCGCTGTTTGTTTATTAGGTTTCACATTCCTTTCACTTTACTGCAGTCTTTGGGCAAAAAAATTGCCATAGCTCTCATAATTACTGCCGTCAGTCTGCAAACACTTAAAGCCTGCTTTTACTTTTAGTGCTAATTTGTCACACCCTGAAACTGTCTCTTTCGAACAGGCATATCTGCATGTGAACTTCATTTAAAAAAGCACTGGGAATCCTGGAAAAAGAAATACCACAACAATGTCAAAACAATGATCAAAGTGCAAACTCAAAGAAAGAAAGATGGTAAAGGAATGGTTGAGGAGTGATTTTTCATTTACTTCCTTTTTGAGTCCAATTTTTCTGCTGCAAATAATTGGCCACTGTAACAAATATTATTGCAGAGGTTGTGGAAAAAAAGCATCTGCTATGAAACTGCACTCTTTCCCAGCGCAGCATTTTACTTCCTTTATTATTATTATTTTTTTGAATAAGCAACAGTGCTTTAGCCTTATGGAAGAATCTAATTCATGGCCATTTCTGCACTGCACTTATGTACTATTATGCATGTCAGTGTGTCAGTATGTCAGTGTATCAGCCAATGCAAAGCTACCAGCATGTGTCGGACAAGAGCAAAAAACATCTTACGGTAATTCATGTTTTATTTATTGAAGAAAGTGAAGTAAAAAATACACTCAGAGGATAAAAAGAGAAGAAAAAATCTTGTGAAAAAAGGAGATCAGATGAGGTACAGTCTGCAGTTGACCAGTAGGGGGCCTCGGCTCCTTGCTGTGTCGTCCTCAGTCTCCTCCCCCAGAGTGTTAGAGTAGGAGTAAGTCGTTCCCTTCAGCTTCTAGTGAAGCCGTGCAGTGGGCGGCAGCTCTCCCATAAGGACAGAGATAGGCTGCTTAAGACACTCCCCTGGCTGGGAGTGGTGCAACCAGCCCTAAGCCCCACCCACCAGGCTGAGGAGAAGGAGGAACACGGCACTGCCCGAGCTGATCCCTTCAATCTTCCCCATAGTGTGGAGCAGCCGGCAGCGTGCACACACACTCACACACTCTCACACAGCCACACACACTCACACTCACTCTCGCACACACACTCGCGCGCGCAACAAAGCAGGCAGACGAGGGAGGCGGGTAATAAAGGAAAGAACATCACAGAGGAAAAACAGCATTGCTGCACTTGGACTTTTCGTATACTGCAGTCTGCGTGGAGTTTGTGCCGTTTCCTGTGTGCCTCGTAACCTTACCGCTCACGTCTGGTCCTTCCTGCGGAGGGATTGAGTCCCGTCAGCTGTGTGTGCAGAGATCCAAATCCGACGACTGTCTACATTGCTGCTTTGTGCATCCACCAGACGGGAACAAAGTGTGCGACTGGGATATCTGACAAGCTCCTCTGGGAACCGACGCTACACCGACAGTCAGAGAGAGAGAGAGAGAGAGAGAAAGAAGGAGCAAGATAGATTGAAAGAGAGAGAGTCAAAGTCAGGGCATGAGCAGGAGACAAGAAGCCGGTTTTCTGGAGAAGTGATTGCCACAGTGCTCCCTCCTCTTCCCTCACCTCCTTCCTTCCTTCTATCCTCTCTTCTGTGCCGCTGTTCCTTCTTTCTTTGCTCACACCTCCGCTGCTATCCCATCCTCGTACCTCCGCTCTCCTTCCATCACCTCCTCCTCCCCTGCTCCCGAAGACAGCGTGAAGAGGAGAGGCACGGCACACACACACTTGCCCGTGTGCCGTATCATCTCATTATCTCTCTCCATCCTTCCTCTGGCTCCATCCCTCAGACGGATCTAGCCTCTAGCTGCGGAACCACAAGCAGAGGCTTTTTGAGTTGTTGGATCCCACACGCGAGTCTCTGTATCCAGCCACAGCCAGAAGGATTCCAGCTACATGGGCAAACGCTTGGAACAGCAACCAATGTACCCCCAGTACACTTACTATTACCCTCACTACCTTCAGACTAAGGTAAGGCACCTTGGTTATCTGGTTTTGTGATGTACTGATTGTCTGCCTCACACGCTTCCTTGCATCTGCACAGTTCTGACAAATTTCTGACACACAAACCACATGACCGATATTTGACATGGGCTGCTCTCTGGAGGTGCAAGAGTGCCCGTTTATCAAGAACGCATGCATACACTCTCGCACACAAACTCATGATCCCAAGATTCTGTCCTCTCAGCTGTGTAGCATGTGGTGGAGGGACTTGAATAATTGCATCCATCTCTCTGAGTCCCTACACCACCCGGACGTGGAGAATTGATTACCTTGGGCTGATCGATAGTGCCGAGATGCTATCGGGGGCACTGGTGATCTCAGCCTCCCTCTGTGATTCATGAATGTTTTTATGCGGCGTGCCCCATAAGAGGCCGGCACTTGTGTAACATGTTTGAGTGAATGAAAGTGGAAAGAGGGCTATGATTGGATCAGAGCAAAAACAATGGCTGTCAGAACAAAGGGCATGAAGATGCATTTTCCTGATCAACTTGGGGTGGGTAAATTACAAAGTGCAAAAGACGAATGTAAGGGAAGAACATTTATGGAAAGTCTTTTGGAGGAGTTGCTTGCTCAACGTTGGCCAAATATGCAAGTGTTCCCAAAAGACACATGATAAACAGCAGTGGCCAAGTCGCTCTCCATCAGTAAATGTTTACGACCTCTCTCTTTCCCTCCTTCTTACCAGTGTTACACTACCAGAATTTAGTAAGCGCTTGGCCAATATCAGAGGAGCTTGTAGAAATAACTTGATTGACGCCCTTCATCGCTAGTCTATACATGACACTAGCACTACACATACACACACACACACTCCCCACTCCTTGTAGCTGCCTTCAAGGTCACGTCAAATTTGATCTTACCCACTTCCGCTGTCTAATGAGGAATGTGGTGGCTTGTCCAGAGCATCATGTCTTTGTCCTTCTCTTTCGTCAAAACCAGAAGTCCTCACAACAAAATCTCACCTTGCTAAATAGGGCCTGTCAAAGAGGATGCATGCATATTCAAAAGGTTCAGAAATGTGCAAAGTATGTTGGTGATCCTTATCGAAGTGGAGCACTATGACAAAAACTGGAGCATCATGGGTAATGGTCAAATGGGCCAGTCTGGGAATAATTATTGATCTGTAGATTATTAAAGGAGATGGAGGAGGTTTTTTGACACTGGGATGGCGTTTCAGATTTCAGATATTCGGGTCTCGCCTGTGAAGGATGGGGACCTCATGTGAGCACGGGTCAGTGTGAGCGCGATTGTGTGTGTGTGCGTGATTGAGGATGTAAATGGTCTGGTATTACTCTTGATTCTAGCGTGCTCTCTGAGTGGAGGCATTCCTCCGGGGGAAATCAATCACGAGGGGGGAAGAGGGGCAACTGACACACAATCACTGCCCTCGCTCGCTCTCCCTCTCTGCCCCAATAATGCTCTGTGCTCAATGAGAGGCAAATGTTAAGCAGGGGAAGTTATGATGCGACAGTAAGCTGCTAATGTCAAGAATCTGTAATTCGGTTAAATTATTATAAAGACCCTGGTATCAATTACATGTAAATGACTTACTTTCATTGAAGCAGGTTCAAAAGAAAATGAAATATGGCTGGAAATTCATCCATTGTTTTATAATGTGGGTCATTGATATCACTGAACATGAAATTAGGTGCAAACATCAGGCATTACAGCAAGATACAGCAAGATAGTTATACAAAGTGAGCAGATTGCAAATGCAGATTAAATGTTTACTTTTCTTCCTAACAATTTAACAAAAAGGTAACATTAAAACTTGTGGGTTTTGCTGTGCATGCCATTTTAATAAAATTATGGGAAATCTATCTATCTATCTATCTATCTATCTGTCTGTCTATCTATCTATCTATCTATCTATCTGTCTGTCTGTCTGTCAAGGCCTATAAACCTTGAAACTTCAATGCTTTTAAAACTTTTTTAAAGATTTCAAACAAGGCTTTGTCAAGCCAACATTTACAGTTTGTCTTGACAAATTTTGCTTCTCAAGTTAAAAATGAGTCATGTGATTTTTTCTTTCAATTTCAATTAATTTTTATTCTACTTCCTTACAGTCAAATTCTCAGTTCAATTTAATTCCAAATGGATTCACAATGTAACTGTATTCCCCTCATGAGGATATCTACAGTACCAATATCACACCACCCCTTCCCTTTCCCCTTGCAGGTTTTAGCTGAACATGGGTGGATGTATAAACGTGAGTGTGTGAGCTGAGGTGTCCTTGACAGCAGTCATACACCAGTGGGATATAAAATAGAATTTAAAGGAGGTAATTCCCCCCTAGTATTGTGCCAACAGAGGCCAGTGGGGCCCCGTCTTCCATTCAATCAGCGGCTAGAAGTCAGAGCTTTACGGTGTGTGTGCGCATTGATGTTTCAAAAGAAGGGAAAGGGGAAGAGAGCCAGAGCGAGCACTCAAATCCTGAGCCATGAGATTGCGTATGCGAACAAATGTGTGTGTGTGGTGTTCAGTTACACTCTTCGGGGTCAGCTTTATGTACAGCAGAAATAACATCCAGTCGGCCGTTTAAACCTCTCCTCTCAGTGGGAGTGCACGCTAACTGCCCTGCAGTGAGGTGACGCGCGGCTTCCCAGCCATGTTCCTGCTGCATTATGGGAATGGTGCATATATGTGGCTCATTATATTTCTGCTGCTCTCAATGTCATTTAGGATTATTACGTTGTGATATTTACTCAGCTTGTGGATAATTACCAGACTGATGCTTCATTTTCCTCTAGCGGCGCCTATTTATTTTTTTACCACACCGGTGAAAATGCTCTCATCTCTCCTCCTCCAAACAACCTTCATCTGAATAATTAAACTCGTTAATGGACAAGCAATTTTCAGGTATCAACGACAATTTGATTTTCGGTATTCATTACCAACACTGTCATTAAACAGGTGAAAGGATAGATTAAAATCCACAAGCACACTCAGCTTTACACACAAATTACTGACTGCAACAAATTAAGTAATTTAAACCTAAAATATGCTTCAAATTTTGAATAATTGTCTGGTTGTTATTTTAAAAAATGTGGTTATTCAGTCCATCAGATATCGCTGGAAGACAAAGCCTGACTTGCCCTGTCCAGCGTTTCCCGCTGAGAGCACAATAACATTACTTGTAATAACATTACATGTTGTTAGGCTATAATACGGTTTCTAAAAAAATCAAATATTTGGGTTGTTTTTACTCTAAAGCATTTTTTGCTATTTGAGTTTTTCTCCAGAGTTCCTGTTGGAAGTGATCCATAATGACATACGCAGAAACATGAACTTACAAGAGTGTGGGCTTTGTATGCGTGTGTGAATTATACATGCAAAAACTTCCATCGGGAAAGCCTGCACTGTAAAATTATTGCTGTAAGTGTCTGCCTGTAACCATCGAGTTGGGGATGTCAGATCTGCCTAGAGTGCTAAATTATGCTTGTCAGTATGTCATTTTTCTGTTATCATCGGAGTGTGCATCTAAGTCACAAATAGGGCCCTATAAATTCAGTTGTATTTTTTCCCAACCTTTCTTTTTTCATTTTTCTGGATTCTGTTTTAATGGTTCAATGAAATTTGAATAATCTAAATTGATGTCTAAAAAATTTAATTCATAACATTTTAAAAATGTATTACATTTTTAACAATAATATTGTCCTATTATTTTTTTATTATTATTTCTGTTGTCTTTTTTTTTTTTTGAATTTGTTTTATGATTTTAAATAAATTTATTATTAAAATGGTGATAATCAAAAGAATGCATAAAACCTTAAAGGATTAGTTCACTTCCAAAATAAAAATTTCCTATAATGGACTTCATTGGGACCCAACGGGCTGAAGGTCCAAATTGCAGTTTCAATGCAGCTTCAAAGGGCTCTACATGATCCCAGCAAAGGAATAAGAGTCTTATCTAGCGAAACGATCGGTCATAAATATATATATATATATTCTGTGACGGAATATATTCTGTATATATTGCGGAAAGTCAAATTCTGTGACGTTCCACGTTATATGGTAAATTCTATTTTTATGACTGGATTCCACAATTCCGTCCACATTTTCCACATCAATGAAATCATAGGGCCCTACACAAATCTTTTCATATTTGAATAAGCTCTTACAGTCTCTCCTATCTATCTATTTCGATAATCTCTGCTTTGTGAGCTTGTGAAAGTCTTTTCACTCTGAGGTTTCTATTTAATGTTGAATGTCAGTAAGTTGTGAGAACAAAAATATAGTGTCACATGACCTAATTTTATTGGAAAGCACTTTAAACTGCATCACTATGTGGTCTAATATTCACAAGACAAATGGTTTTAAATACAAGCATTCATATTTTTAGTCCATCAATGTTTTTCTCTTTTCCTCCCTGTCTTTCTCTCATCTTCCCTCCCTTTTCCTCTCTCTCTCTCTCTCCCTCTCCTACTGTGTCCTGGGCATTCTCTCCAGCCATCTGTTCAGAGGGGTGGGGTTCACTCTGAAAAGAGGAACGTACTTGGCAAGCATACCCTCATAGGTGGATAAAATTTAATGCCCAAGATTGTCCTCATTTCAGTAGTGTAATGCTCTGCATTAGTCACGAACATGAAAAGAAAAGAATATAAAGCGCACAAAAGAGCTGTTTGTAGTAGTAGTTCAATATTTTCTGGCCCATTCTGAAGATGAAATGTGTTCTAGATTTTCACATTTTGCATCAGAGAGTAATAACTCTCATGCGCATCTAGTCACACAAAACCAATATGAGAATGTGCAAGAAGAAACTTTCATTGTCACTCACATGCTTATGAGTTAAAGCTGCAGTCCGTAACTTTTTTTGTCGAATGGTATGACAATTAGAGATTAGACTGTGCAGAAATTGAAATCTACACACACACACTATACTCATAGTCACACAATGCTGATGTTGTTAGCATTAATAATATCCACACCGGTGCGGTGACTGACTGCCACACATACTCCTCAAAACA